CAGGAATGCTATACAAAGCATAGCTTATTTTAAAGCATGGCGTTTCGATGGACGTGTCATCAGGAACAGACAAACTTGTACAGAGTTAGTCATTTCTCTTCAATGGTTTGTAATGAACTCGTCCCAGAAGTTTTCTCCCTATTACCTAAAACAAGGCATGGCTGTACAGTATTAGGCTAATGTGAAAATTCTCTAGTGTCTTTCTATTTTAGATCGCTAATGTTCCAGATAGTATTCCAGTAAGAAAGTTTTTAAGTTTTCAGAAGGTCATCCTCAGCCAGATATTGGCTACTATCTACAAACCAAACGGTTGTTGGTAACTAAAGCCTTGTGTGTTTGATATAAATGGTAACGCACGTTTATTTTTCTGGCAACAGAAAACTGCTGATCCAGATGTGATTCTCTGCAACGCAGTAGAGATGATTCGTGAGCGTTTAAATGTTTCCGAAGATGGTAAGAAAGTCAAACACCATGAGAAAGAAGATGAGTATGTTTATGACATCTACTATATGGAAACATCAGCCCCTGGTTGGATCCAAAACATCCTGTCTGTCCAGCCCTATAAAGAGGAATATGAACTGGTAAGGATGGGGAAAACAAGATATTCTCTAGTAGAAAGGCCACGAATAAACATGTTTAAAGTCCTAACATAAAAAATGACCATGCCAAGAAAGATACTTTGAAGATACTACAGTTACACTCAGTGACCTCTCCGTCAAGCTTTCTGTAATTGCCAGTCCTGTGTTCCCTCAGGTTACTGTTGATTAGAGCAAATGATGATGTGACAATGAAAACAAAGACTGGTTGACTTCAATTTGGCAAACAAGTTTTGGCATACGGCATATAAACTTAAGTCACATCTCATTTGTGGCTGGCAGGAGGTAGCAATTGAAATGTAACTGTAAATATGTTTGAGGAATAGGAGCAAGGGGGATGCTATTTTTTCTGGCAGTCCTCGATTTATGAGGACTTGAATTTATAGTCTTAATAAGAGGTCTTTTCCTGTAATAAAGAAATACCCTTCAGTGACTTCAGTTACGAAGATACAGGGTAAGCTTTATTCTTTCATTGCATGGATACTGTGGTCAATATGCTTTGCATATAACTGCAGGACCTGAAGGAGCTTTCTTTTTCTTCTTGGACTATTGTAAAACTTCACTGCTGAAGTGAGTAGGATTCATTTTGACATCAACTTCAGCAACACTAGAACACTTAAATGCATGACGTACTGATTTTTCACCAAAAGCAGGTTGCTTACAGAGGACGTACTGACAAGTTTTTAGGGGTTTTTTTTGTTTTTTTTTTGTTTTTTTTTGTTTTAAACTGTGTGCTTGGTGCAACTTCTGAATAACTTTGCTTTCAGTATCCCTTGGCTCTTTTCTTTATGGTTTGTTGTTTAGGTGGATGAAAAACTGCTTATGTCTGAATATGTTTTTCATAATGAATGTTCTGTTCCACATTGACATGCAGGTAGATGATGATCATAATCCAGGGGAAATATATGAAGACGAAGATGATGAAAATGACGAAAATAACTGGCGTAATGACTATCCTGATGAAGATGAGTTCTTACCCGAGGAAGATGGTGATGGAGAAAAGGGTATGCTTGCTGAAAATACTGCCTGCTTTCATGCTGTGCACATTTAAATCCCACCCTTTTTTGTATTTCCTCTTTCTAAAAATGCAAACCTTGCACTGCTGGTGTATTTTTTTGGCTCTTGTAACGGGTTACATCAGCTCAGAAAAGAATCGTTTGCCACCAGGGCAAAGTAAGTGAACACTGCACAGAGACGGAGGGGGAGTAGACGAGTTTTCCAAGTTAACAGCTGGCTGCGCCGCTGGTGTTGGCAACAGGGCTTTGGTTTCTATGACCATGGGACCCTGTTTGAAGACCGACAGCTGATGGGGAGCGATAGGTTCCACCTTACCAAGCGGGGCACGCGTGTCTTTGCCAACAGATTGGCCAGCCTGGTAAGGAGGGCTTTAAACTAGGCAAGATGGGGGGAGGGGAGTGGTATAGTGGCAGGGGAGTCAGTAAAACACCGCTCAAGTCAGGATGCCTCCAGCGGGTGCATACAACCAGGGGAGACAGCATGGGACATGGCTATGGAGGATCCTCTTGCACCTCTCTTGGGAAGCCTGCGTGTTTGACTGGCTCTCTGAAATGCCTGTATACCAATGCACGCAGCATGGGGAATAAGCAGGAAGAGTTAGAGATCTGTGTGCGGTCGCAGGGCCATGATCTCATTGCAGTGACAGAGACATGGTGGGATAGTTCACATGACTGGAATGCTGTCATGGATGGCTATGTGCTTTTTAGGAAAGACAGGCCAGGAAGGCGAGGTGGTGGAGTTGCTCTTTATGTGAGGGAGCAACTAGAATGTATGGAGCTCTGCCTCAGGGTGGATGAAGAGCAAGTTGAGAGCCTATGGGTAAGGATTAAAGGGCAGGCTAACATGGGTGACACTGTTGTGGGGGTCTACTACAGGCCACCTGACCAGGAGGAAGTCATCGATGAGGCCTTCTACACACAGCTGGAAGTAGCCTCACGATCACAGGCCCTGGTTCTCATGGGAGACTTCAACCACCCTGACATCTGTTGGCAAGACAGCACAGCTAGGCACAAACAGTCAAAGAGGTTCCTGCAAAGCATTGATGATAATTTCTTGACCCAGGTGGTGGAGACGCCAACGAGGAGAGGTGCAATGCTAGACCTTGTACTAACGAACAAAGAAGGTCTAGTTGGAGATGTGAAGGTTGGGGGCAGCCTTGGCTGCAGTGACCATGAGATGGTGGAGTTCAGGATCCTGCGAGGAGGGAGCAGGGCAATGAGTAGGATTGCAACGCTGGACTTCAGGAGAGCTGACTTTGGCCTCTTCGGGGACCTACTTAGGGGAATCTCCTGGGGTAGGGCCCTAGAAGGAAGAGGGGTCCAAGAGAGCTGGTTAATATTCAAGCGTCACTTCCTCCAGGCTCAGGATCAGTGCATCCCTCTGAGGAAGAAGTTCAGCAAAGCGGGCAGGAGACCTGCATGGATGAGCAAGGAACTCCTGGCCAAACTCCAGCAGAAGAAGGAAGTGTACAGAATGTGGAAAAGGGGACAGGCCACTTGGGAGGAATACAGGGACGTTGTCAGAGCGTGCAGGGATGCGACAAGGAAGGCTAAGGCCCAGCTGGAATTAAATCTGGCAAGGGATGTCAAGGACAACAAGAAGGCCTTCTTCAAATACATCAATAGCAAAAGGAAGACTAGGGAAAACGTGGGCCCGCTGCTGAAAGGGGCGGGTGCCCTGGTGACAAAGGATACAGAGAAGGCAGAGTTATTGAATGCCTTCTTTGCTTCTGTCTTCACTGCTAAGGCCAGTCCTGAGGAATTCCAGACCTTGGAGACAAGAGAGGAAGGCTGGAGAAAGGAAGACTCTCCCTTGGTTGAGGAGGATCGGGTTAGAGATCTTTTGTCCAAACTTGACATCCACAAATCCATGGGCCCCGATGGGATGCACCCACGAGTGCTGAGGGAGCTGGCGGATGTTATCGCTAGGCCTCTCTCCATCATCTTTGAAAGGTCCTGGAGATCAGGAGAGGTGCCTGAGGACTGGAAGAAAGCCAATGTCACGCCAGTCTTCAAAAAGGGCAAGAAGGAGGAGCCAGGAAACTACAGGCCTGTCAGCCTCACCTCCATCCCGGGAAAGGTGATGGAACAGCTCATCCTGGAGGTCATCACTAAGCATCTGGAGGACAAGAAGGTGATCAGGAGTAGTCAGCATGGATTCACCAAAGGGAAATCATGCTTGACCAATCTGATAGCCTTCTATGACAGAATGACTGGCTGGGTAGATGAGGGCAGAGCAGTGGATGTTGTCTTTCTGGACTTCAGCAAGGCTTTTGACACTGTCTCCCATCACATCCTCCTAGGTAAGCTCAGGAAGTGTGGGCTAGATGAGTGGACGGTGAGGTGGCTTGAGAACTGGCTGGATGGCCGAGCTCAGAGGGTTGTGGTGAATGGCGCAGAGTCAAGTTGGAGGCCTGTGGCTAGTGGTGTCCCCCAGGGGTCAGTCCTGGGCCCAGTCTTGTTCAATATATTCATCAATGACCTGGAGGAAGGGACAGAGTGCACCCTCAGCAAGTTGGCTGATGATACTAAACTGGGGGGAGAGGCTAACACACCAGAAGACTGTGCTGCCATTCAGAGGGACCTGGACAGGCTGGAGAGGTGGGCGGAGAGGAACCTCATGAAGTTCAACAAAGGCAAGTGCAAGGTCCTGCACCTAGGCAGGTGTAGTGAATTCAAGGAGGACTCCCAGCAAACAGAAGTAATAAGAGTAATAACCATGACACGAGATATCTCCAGAACACACGCACAGGTATTTTTCATAACAAAATTTTGTTCATACTTTATGAAATCATCATTCTTCTAGTAAAGGACTCTAACCTGTCTCTCATAGATGTAATGACTGGATTAGACTCAATGCCCTTTTGAACTGTTAGTGCTTTCCCATGACATGTTTAAGCTGATTTTGCAGGTAATTTTGCTGCTTCCACAATTAAATATCAGAAACATAAAAGGCCATTGTCAAATTATTATCCTTAATTAATTTTTAAAAGTAATTGTTTGAGAACATTCTTTAAATCGTATGGCGTGATGTTTTTTGCCGTTTCTTTAAAAAAGTAAGCAATTTTCCTCTTCCTTTGATATTTTTGATGTGATCCTGGGCAATATGCTCTAGGTGACCCTGCTTGAGCAGGGAGGTTGGACTAGATGATCTCCAGAGGTCCCTTCCAACCTAAATGATTCTGTGATTCTGTGGGAGCATGAACTTCTGAAAGCTGGGGTGAGCGGTTAAATTGGTTCACCATGTCTTGTGGAACCAACATGTAAGGTAGTAACTGGCTTTATGTCCTATGAACTTAGCTTTCATAGTTGCACAGTACTTAAGATTAGAGGAAAATCAAAATTTTAAGAACTAGTTTAAGATGGAATGACTTAACGTATAGCAAAAAAGCGCTAAATTACTTTGCTGTAAGGTAGGTGGTGAAATAAAACAGTCACTTGCAAACAGATTTTTATGAGTCATCCCTTAAAAAGTTTTCAATGAACTCAAGTAACTATGCTAGAATCATGGATTTTTCTAGTTTAAGTACTTAACTTCAAAACCAGAAATCCATTTCAGGCTGCTGCAGTTGCACAGGATTGCTTGTTTTGAGAAGGAATAGGAGACGCTGTCCAACATGCTTGTGAAACACTGTCTCTGCTTTTCCTTCCCCCCGGGACCCCCCCCCGGCCGAGTCCAAGTACCATTCAACGCTGATCTAATATAGCAGTTACTCAAACTTTGTATATTTTTCATGTGTGTTACTCAGGAAACTTATAGTTCCCAGATTAACATAACTCTTTAACTAAAAAGAAGGGATAGTCTAAAACTGTGTCATGCTCTTTCTCTAGAGTCTGAAGAGAGCTTGAGTGATGAAGACCAGTGTTTCAGGAGAAGAACATGGAACAAATACCGTCGTGAGGTCTTGCAAGAATTTGGATATGATGAGGTCCAGGATTTGGATTCTGACTGACAGCGGGCTTCTTTGGGTTTTTTGGTTTTTGTGTGTGTGTTTTTTCTTTTTAAGAGGAAATGCACAGAACTTGCAGCAGAACTGAAATTCTAGAAAGCTGCTGGTGACTATTCATGAGAACGTTGAGTTAAAAAGAAAAATAGAAAAGCACTTTCTGGTAAAAGCTGTACTCATTGGGACAGTACGAAACCAGTCTTTAAGCTGATGAACTTTATGCTAAATTTTTCATACGTGACCTTTGTAAAACATTCTGAAAGTGTTAGTGACTGGCATGGTTCACCGTAATGCTCGCTGCTTGTGCTTGAGCATTAGATAAAACTAGACTTTAGGATTCCAGTAAATAGTAACAGCTCACTTTAATATCTGAGCTGGGTTGTAGATGTTATTCAACTTTAGCTAGTAGATATGAAAACAGATGAGTGTGAGTATCAGCACTTTAAAACATAATTTTCTTTTTTAAGCAGAAGATACGATCTGGATTAAGTTCATTTGTGGGGAGGTAGTTTTGTTTTTTGTTTCCCTCCTTCTTCTACCTGTTCTGTGATGCTGAGGTTGTGGAGAAAGCTATTTTGAGCTGCACACCCAATCGTTTATATCAAGATGGGTAGCATTATATGTGGAGATATGGCAAGCGGCAACCCTTATTGTTGACAGTAACGTGTAAGGTTTTGCAAGAAGATGATGTCTACCATGTGGCAAGAGATGTAGGTCTCTTCCTGTAAAGGCAAGTAGGAGTCCTGGTAAAAGGTACTCTACTTCTTTCTGTGTTTAAACTCGTCTTTGCAAGTGTTTGACCCCACAAAATAGTTTGACTTGACTCTTGTTCTGCTGTATAATACTTATTATAAATGCAGTATTGTCATTCTCTGTTGAGGCTGGTGTGCAATTTGGGCCTGTGAGAGTTAAGTGTATCTTACACCTGCTCCTGTGCTTAGCTAAGTTTCCTTCTTGAGTTTACCAGGAAGCAGTGCACTGAATGCTAGTCTCTTTTTTTTTTTCTGGGTAAAGTCACTGGAACAGAGTAGCAAAGATGAAGCATGTAACAAAGGGAACAATCTGTTGTGCAGCTGTCAACCCAGCACCATCAACAGTGTAAGATATGTAAGACAGGTAAAGCTGGGACTTGCCTCATCTGACTGATCCTTATTAAGAGTGAGGGGTTTAACAAGAATGGCTCTCTGCTGGAGTCTTGTGATTCGCTGTCTGTAAAAAGGATCCCCCAAAGCAGAAAAGTGGTCAATTAGTTCTGACTGCTGCTGTCATCAAGGTAACAGAGGTGAAGTTTTTGTTCTTGTTTTCATGGAAAGGTTAATAGGGCTCCTAAGAGGCAGAGGAGAGGTTAAAATTGTGTTTCCCATTAGACAGAGCTGTCTCTATAGATACAGCTTTTTAAGAAAAAAAAAAAAAGTCTTGTATGTAATTAGTTTTTAACTGTTTTAATACTGCACTCATTCTAATTTTCATTAAAGACTGAAAACACCCATACGGGGCTTATGCTCCAAGTTTGCACAAAGTTCCTCAGCTGGATTTTAACTGTCTTAAATCCAAAGGTGTGGCTTCATAAATTTACCCAAAGCCTCTATTTTTTTAGTTTTTAAACATGTATTCACAATTTCTAAACCATTAAATATTTGTTTAATATAAACTTAGGCAGGAAGTCAGTACAAGAATCCAAATGTTTTTACTGTTACTGAAGTGGCTGATGCAAATGTGGAACAGCGTTTCAAGTATGCGTGTCTTCAGCCACAATCTTTTGAGTACAGGTTTTAGTTTAACTTGAAATAAACACACAAACTGCACCTGGACAAACTTCAGCCAACTTAGGTCAACATTTTGAAATAAAAGAATTCTGATATGTTTGGAAGTATATCTTACTCTGCTGGCTTCATGCTTCCTTTTGCTGCTGCCCCTAGATTCAGGGTCAGTGTTCCAGCATGTCCTGATGATAGGCTTTCAGCTTTGGAGTCCCCAGAAACTTGCATCTTGCAAGACTTGCTAACTTGTATCTGTCTGTAGTGCACTAGTATTTTTTTTCCTCTGTCTCAGCCTTTGAGGCTTTAACCTTCAGAAGAAAGATGGTGATCACTATGTCAACACCGACATTGAACTCGAGCATGGCTAGATAAAGAGCAACTTCTGGTCAAGATGACTGTTTTCTAGTGAACAGTACTAAAATTCAGAAAAGGAATTTTCTGATGGCTGAGGTAACACTGATAACGTGTGTTCCACTGAAACAGTTCAGACACAAATCCTTACAAGCTTCAAACTGAGCGTTTTAATTTTGGAAGTTTCGTTTAAACTTTTCAGAAGATGACCAAGTACTTACAAGCCAGCAGGGAAGAATCCATGCATAATCATCAAGTGTTAATCAAATCTTTAGCGCTAAGGAATTTGTATCTCATGAAAGGTGGTTTAATCTTGTTGATTAAATCCTTGCAACAAGAAGATACCACATTTCAGTGTAGTATACAAAATGAAATGCCTGTCCTTCAAGGGAGAAAGGGTGGTTCAGTCTTTGAACAGGGTAGCGTAAATTCTGTTCTTTTTTCTGCTAATAACTTGGTTTGTTGCGAACGGTTGTCTTCTGGAGTAAGAACTGAGATAGCACAGCAGATCATTCCATGCAAACATCCATTAGAATTAAGCTGGAAATGGCTTTTAGTCTTTTGACGTGAAGTGGTTTTCAGTTTAACTTTAAAAACACATTATTCCATTGCCTAGTTTAGCAGAAAACTAATTTGATCCATTAGCTCTGATTTAGAAATCCAGCTCTCCTCTTACCCCTTTAATACCCCTTCTGAACAGTATTGAGGTGTTGCTTATGTGCTCAAAAGAAGCAGCTAATGATTGTCCAATGAAAACATGCCCTGAAAATGTATCAGAGTTTAGGAGGATGACGTCTGGCCACGATCTGTTCAGGAATCCAATTGCAGGTAAGTCCATTTTCAGTATTTCTGAAAGACCACTGGAACGAGTTTTTCCATTTTTTCCAGTTGCAACTCTTCTCTTCCCTTTAATCGTAATAATTGCTTCCTCTTCCCTCCTGCTTCTTGTAATAGGTTTGCAGTTTTAGTTGGACTTGATTTCTAACTTCTTTTCTTCGCTTGGGTCCATCTCTGTTAAAACACAGTAACAGAGCAGCTGCACGTTTCGTGTGATTGCACCTGCATAGGAAATTGAAGATAAATCAGATGAATCAGCACAACTCTAATTAGGCAACATGGACATGTCTAGGTTAGCTGTCAAGAAGGCTTGGCTCGCTTCTCCTAAGGGAAGCGCACCAGAAGAGTTTTCACAAAGAGCATTTTCCACTTAACATGTTTAAACAAATAATGCTAAAAGCCGTTCTGTTGATACCTTAGAGGTGTCTTTACTCCTAGGCACCCTGTCAGGTAACTGAGGTAGAAACTTTTTCCCTCTATAATTAAAAATATAAAATCAGTAGTAAAAAAAAAAAATAAAGAATTTCAAATAAAACGTGGGAGAGTGACAATATCACTGAATATCAGTGTATTTAGTGATTGCTGCAGGACCATATCCTGTTGTATTCCAAAATTATGCTATAAACCTCCTTTTGAACATCCCTCATCGTGGTTTTCTCTTCCTAGACAGAAACAATAAAAATCTTGGACTGCTAGGAAAGGGATGTGTAATTTAACTACAGCAATTCAAAAACAGGCAAAATTGCATCTGTGACTAACAACAATTGTCCACCTTCAAACAACAGATTTAGTAGAGCAAGACAGTTTGCTTGTCATTACCAAGAATGCGCAACCTTTTTAGACTAATCAGTCTTGGTTAAGAAAAAGACTTTTTGTGTGCTTGATTAAAGAGAAACGTATTAAGACTGAGGGCAAAATCTGTAGGAAGTACATGGTATTGTAAACAAATAAAATCTGAGTGTATAAGCACATATAACATCAGTATGGTCTTTTAACCAACAAATTGAGATTCACTTCTGTAACAACTTAATTTTCCTCAGTTGTGAGCAACGCTTCCATCCACAAAGAGACTTACCTAAAATCTTGTCGATAAAGGCAGGTCTCTTTGATGCAGGTAAATAGACTCCCAAGAAATAGACTGGAATTCCAGACAAAGCAATGCCAATTCCAATCAATGAATTTATGGTGTCGCTATAGAGTGGCACTACCACCAGAAATACTGAGCATATACAGAATATTACTGGGAAAGCCACACTCAGCTGGAAGCAGAGAAAAACAATGGCATGGTTTTGAAATATTCGTTGTCTAGTTACATACATTTCAGTGAAAATTACCACCTTTCCCTTCTCCAACCCCACTGTGAAATTCCGCTCTTC